TGATTGGTTTCAACAGGTTGGTGAAGCACCGCAGAGTGAAGCTGAGGCCGAATGATAGGCATATGAATTGATAGGCCTCGTCATTTCAGAGGAAGCGTCGGCTGGCTGGGTGCATCGGTACAGACAGATATGCATCCTTGAGGTCGAGTCGGGTGAACCAATTGCCTGGACGTAGGATGTCTCGAAGAAGATGGATACCCTCCATCTTGAAGTCTGTAAACTAGAAGGCATTCAGCTGATGTAGATTTATGACTGGGCAGGATTCTCCTGATTTTTTCTGTACCAGGAAGATGGAACTGAAGAGATCCCCGTTTTCCTAACTGAGGTCCATTTACTTCATTTTCATCTATAAAAAAACTGAACAAAAATATTCATTGAGGCAGTCAGCTAGACTTTTATCCTCTTCTACATACCTTCCTTCTTTTGTTTTTAATCTAACTAATCCTTTGTTTTACTTTCCTTTTCTTTACCGACTGTGCTATTTTCTCTTCTGTGTGTGATTTGGAAGCTCTTATAACTTACTTAGACAGATTTATAAGATTAGGCAGAAATAGGCTATCTTCCTCACTCTGTTTTTTTTTTTATAATTACTAAATGATAACTTTTTAAGTTTTACTATTTTGGCCACATCTGCGGAGTACCACAGTGGTTTGTAGTATTTTTTGTTTTTACTGACCAGCCTAATGCAAATTTCTGTTGCCTTCAGCAGTGCAACTTTTAAATAATCCCATTTCTCTTGGACTCAAATTAAACTGCTCCAGCCTGATAATGACTCCTTTACACATAGCTTTTGTTTTTGTGTGATGTAACTCACTTTTCTTATATTAACCCCTTCACGCCGTTACGGCGTTCTATGCCGTCATGGCTTTAATGGACTTTAAAGCCGTTGCAGCGGCATAGAACGCCGTAACAGCTTTCAGCCCCAGAGGACCGGCGGTACTTACCTCCGCCGCGATCCTCTTCTGGAGGGCTGCCAGACTGCCCAGGCAGCCCTCCTCCGGTGAATGAGGCCCCCGGGGGCCATGTGATCGCTTTCAAAGAGCGATCACATGGCCCCCTATAGCTGGCTATGGATCTGCCAGCAGGGGGACTGTTTGAAATAGCAGACAGTCCCCCTGCTGGTGGGAAATGTAAAAAAAATAAATTAGACATGTGTAAAAATAAATAAATTTATATATATAATATATGTATATCTAATATATATATATATATATATATATTATTTACATATAACGTCATATGTAATGTATTTTAATATTAATATAAGTATATATTAATATTAAAATACACTTAGACTGACATTACATATATATAATATGTATATATTATATATATTATAGATATACACACATATATTATATATATATATATACACGTATAATTACAATAATAAATAAATTAAATAATAAAATAAATAAATAAAATATTGAAACAAAATTTTATATAAATTATATATGCATATGTAATTTCATTCTAACTGTATTTTGTTATTAATATATATATATATATTGGTAACAAAATACACTTAGAATGACATTCTATATATATCTATCTATATATAAAATACAAATAACCGCAAATAAATATATATAGATAAATACATATAATTCCATAAAAGATTACATTAGTATACACGTAGAATTTAAATACCTATAAATGCATATATATTAAAATTCTACGTGTATATTTAAGTAATCTTTTAACATAATTATGTGATTTGATTAATTAAAATTTGATTGACATGCCTGACAACACAGGGAGAAAGTGCAGAGAATTTAATTCGCAAGCACTATATTTGACCCTGTAACTCTCCAAGACACCATAAAACCTGTACATAGGGGGTACTGTTTTACTCGGTAGACTTCGCTGAACTCAAATATTAGTGTTTTAAAACTGGTAAATTGTATTACAACGATGATATTTTAAGTAAAAGTGAAGTTTTTTGCATTTTTTACAAACGAACGTCATGTTTATGGACTATATTATTGTTGTAATATGTTTTACTGTTTTAAAACTAATATTTGTGTTTAGTGAAGTCTCCCGAGAATAACAGTACCCCCCATGTACAGGTTTTATGGTGTTTTGGAAAGTTAGAGAGTCACATATAAGGCTTGCATTTCATTTTTTTGACATTGAAATTTGCCAGATTGGTTATGTTGCCTTTGAGACTGTATAGTAGCCCAGGAATAAGAATTACCCCCATGATGGCATACCATTTGCAAAAGTAGACAACCCAAGGTATTGCAAATGGGGTATGTCCAGTCATTTTTTGAGACATCGCTGATTACAAATATGTGCATTTTTTTGCAGTAAAACCTAACAGTATTATGACATTTACAGCTAAAATGTGATGCGGAACTACACTTTTTAAATTTTTTTAAAAATTTCTCACAGTTTTTTTAATTTTATTCATAATAAATTATGTTTCATTTTTAAATATTTGATATGAAATGAAAGCCCTGTTTCTCCTGAACAAAATTATATATAATAAGTGTGGGTGCATTTACTATGAAAGAGTGGAATTACGGTTGGACAGACATGTAGCGCAAATGCCAGGTTTTGTTTCACAACGTGTACATTTGGCTCCGTCCTTAAGTGGTTAAACAACAATGACTGATGATCACTGGATCCTAAACTTTCACCTACAGTAATATCTGATACCAAATCTCCATTTGTTAACACTAAATCTAGTATGGCCTCTTTACAAGTTGGCGCCTCAACAACTTGTTTTAGAGACAATCCCAGTAGGGAGTTTAGAATATGTGTGCTCCTGGCACAAGTAGCTAATTTTGTTTTCCAGTTTACATCAGGAAGATTAAAGTCACCCATGATGATAACTTCCCCCTTCATTGTCATTTTAGCTATTTCCTCAACTAGTAGATTATCTAACTCTTCAATTTGTCCTGGGGGCCTATAAATCACACCTACACGAGTTACTGTGTGATTACCAAATTCTAACGTAGCCCAAACGGACTCTATGTTTGCCTCACTAACTTTACTAAATCTACACTATCAGTTGCCATTATTGCCACAAGTTCATGGATCTTATTCCCTAAACTGTGAACGTTTGTAGACATGACTCTATTTTATCATTTTTTAACACACTTGCTAAAGGCACCTTCTGTCCTTGTTTTGGGGGGAAATTGGATTGCTGTTTTATCGCCCTTTCACCCAATAAGTCAATGCGCCACATATTGTTGCATGTAATATGTAAGGCTATATCTTGCCACCCCAGATGATTGAGTAATTATATATATATATATATATATATATACACACACACACACACACACACACATACATCAAATATATATTGCTTTTTCTAATATAAAATATTGGTCCTTTCAGAGTAAAACGTTTAATTATACAGTAAGCATACTCACATGCAGACACAATCTCACTGACACACACAAGCTCATTGATACACAGCCTCATAGACAAACAATCTTACGCGATCCCCCCTCCTCTTACCTGTAGGCGAACAGCGTCCCCTCTCCGCTGCACGCCGCTCGCGTACTCCTCGCCCACCAGCGGCAGCATGTGTAACGCTGCACGCTGGGAGTCCCGGCATTTATGTAAACGCCAGGGTCACTCACGTGACCCAGCGTTAAAGCCACAGTACCCTAATCACAGTGGGAGGTATAGATATCTCCCACGTGTGATTATTAATTCTGATTGGAAATTATCCAATCAGAATTAAGCACTGCTATTATATACTTACCTTTCCTGTCTCTCAGTGGCCTGTTGTGGTCTTGTGATACCTGTAGTGCAGTTTTCTTGTCTTGCTCTCTGGTTACCAATTATTTGGCTCGTTATTCCGATTTTCCTGTATTCTCCGCTCCTTTGACCTCGGCTTGTTTCTCATTCTCCCATTTTCTGTCTCCCTTTACTTGGCTTGTCTCCTGACTATTCTTAGTGTGCTTAACCCGGCCATTCTAAGGACCGGTATAGCACCCTTCCTTCCTGTGACCTGTTAGCGTGTTAGGTTCCAGAATCATGACATGTTCGACTGTACAGGAATTTCAGGGACAAAAGGTCTGGAGAAACGGGGTGCTAAATGCATACTCATGCGTCTGGTCTTGTTTCTAGCTTCTCTGGTTCTTAATCTGTAACGGCACCCCCAGGCATAAAAAGGGGTTAAAAGCCGTTTAGGAGATATTTCCCTTCCAGATATACAGGCAGCTACCAATGACACCAATCCGCCGAACAGGAAACCATATGAATGCCGTAAACAGCCGAATAGGAAAAGCCATACGAACAGCTTTACACTCCTAGCAGCCGAACTGGAACAGCATACAATAAATCCCCCCAAGAACGAGACAAGGCTCTGTTTTGAGTGTCAAGCAGGAACAGACAGAGCTGTGGGTTTATTGTTCTTATATACACATTAGTACCCCCCACAGGGTTTTGGAAAACAACCAATAAACACGTACAATACACTCAGACACTCCCACACAAAATCATCCCCTCTGCCTGTGATACAATTACCTTACACAATGGATAATGTAATTATCACAGCCAGAGAAATACAGTTTTTCCACATTATTCATAATTTTAAAAGTATGCATCACATTCACATTCACATAAAACATTTACATTTTCAGAATCAGCATACTCCAAATACAAACATACGTCAAAATCATACAAATTGGTCCAGTGGTTCAAAAGATAGTTCGTAGTCCTTTGTGACCAAATGAAGCATGGCTTTTCGGCCCAAAACCAGTTCCTAAGAGTCCTCTATCCTGGAGATAATTGGGAAGTAATCCAATTATCTCCAAGAACAGAGGCAAAACTCCATTGAACACATGGCAGCAAAAGACAATAAAACAGATAAAAGTATATAACTGTGCAGCCATTGCATAAAACATGTACATTCAACATATCCCCGGACAGTTCAGATCTAAGCGCACATTATTACTGAATGGCACTCAGATCACACACATACAGTTCAATTGCCATGGAGCCAAAGTCTTTGGCCTGGCCCAAGCTAAATCTTTACCTTTTAACTTATTCATTAGGTAACCAATTTTAGCTCTGTCTGTGGGAAAAGATCCCAGTGAGGCCTCAAAATGATACTCCATTTGGTTAATAAATCCCTGGCATTCTTGAATATTACCATCAAAATGCAGGGGACGAGATAGGGAGATAGTACGTGCCATCTGTACTATAGCTGGAGGTACACAAGGTGGAGGTGAGGCCGCAGGTTGCAGATGTGCTGTTCGGGTAAGAAGCGTACTGAAGGCCTGGGCAAATTGATCCATGCGGTGATCATTATCCTCCAGTTTCCTTTCACAAGCAGCTATGTGCTTCCACAATTCTACAGGATCTATGGCCATGTCATAATGTCAGGATTACAGAATGATCCAGCACGTAGAATTGTGTAACACAGAGGAGTGATAGGTAACGTATACCAGACCTTAGATTGGCCGGACTAACATACCAAAGAATAGTCAGGAATAGCCGAGGTCAAGGGATGCAGAAAGAGACACAACGATAAGGAAAAGCCAGGAGTCAGGGATGCCAGAAAACAGGGAAGTTAAAAACAATGCCAAAGTCAAATAACAGAATTACCAGAATAAATAACGCGCTCTCGGACAACCACAAGGGAAACTACGAACGGGCACTGAGCAGGATGAGAACTGGGCCTAAATACCTCTCCTCTGGATCTGATAGGCTGTAATTGGCCTTTGACCCCAAAGGCAGTTATCAGGTTCTGATTTGCATAATTGCTGCTCAGCACAAATCCTCCTGTGGATTTTATTGCTGCTCGGCACAACTTTTCCTCTCAGGGCAGTAATGTTGTTCGGCACAACTTTTCCAGTCTGAACAGTAAATTCCATTAATCACATTTTTATAAGCGGATGAATACGTGACAATAATAAATATAATGTACAATATTAGTGATGTATAATATACAGGGCAGGACTGGGAAAAAAATTAGGCCCGGGCATTTTTCAATTAGAGCGGCCCCCAAAAAAGGGGGCGGGGCCAGAGAAAGTGAGCATGTTGGTTCAATGCGCAGAGCCCCACTGAAGAGCTCTAGCATTAGAAAAAGGCCCTGTATTTGTTCTGCGCAGCGCAAGCAAATGTAATAACATGCTTGCGCTGTGTTTGCTTTTAAATTGTCTCTGGTGTCTCCACAAGTGGGATACCAGAGGACAAAAGGGCCAGGAAAGTGTATGGTGCATGTGTTTGGCGCATGCTTGTGGGATTGCCTGTGTGTAGAGTGTGGTGTGGTATTGTGTAAATAGGTCAATTTTGTGGTGTAATATGTGTGGCTAGGGGCTATAGAGAGTGCGTGTATAGGAGCATAGTGTTATAGGGGATGTAGCGATTGTGTGCATACGGGCAGTAGTGTGTGTGTATAGGTGACGTAGTGTGTGTCACTTATACACACACACTACTGTGTGTAGAGAGGGTGTGTTTAGAGAATGTTGTATGTGTTTGCTTACAAGGAATGTAGTGTGTGTGTAGGTGGTGCAGTGTGTGTGTGTAAGAGATCTAGTGTGTAAAGGACCCAGAGTGTGTATAGAAGATTGTATGTGTGTGTGTGTGTGTAGAGGATTAAGAGTGCATATAGGGTAACGGATCTAGCGTGTATCTGGAGCGTAATGTGTGTAGTGGTGCAGTGTGAGGGGTGCTGTAGTGTGTGTGTGTGTATATATATATATATATATATATATATATATATATATAAAAAAACTAAAAATCTTTCAACATTGAAGTTGCTGTTTAGTGGATAGGTGAGTGCGCTGGATCTTGTGATAGATATATATATATATATATAGCAAAAAAACAGGATGCTTGGCACTCTCCTTTAAGTAATAAGAAAGAACTAATAGCCTGGGTGCTATATCCCAAACGTCAGAAATATACAAAAATCAAAACTGAGGATGCACTCACAGGACTTGGTTAAAGTGAAAAAAAGGGACTTTTAATTATTCCATGTGAATGGAAAATTGATTTTTCTGTACATTTCACATGGAATAATTAAAAGTCCCTTTTTTTCACTTTAACCAAGTCCTGTGAGTGCATCCTCAGTTTTGATTTTTGTATATATATATATATATATATATATATATATATATATATATATTTGGACGTATTGTATGTGTGAGGTGCGCAGCGTGTTTGTGTAAGAGGGGTGCTGTGTGTGAGGGTGTTTTTATCTGCCGTCACATTCTGGGTTTCTAATTTTATTTGTCTGTTAACTCACTGAGGGTTATTTTATATAATATATATGTGCTGTATATGTGTGGGAGTGAGGGTGTTGTGTGCGTCTGGGGGTGCGCTGTGTGCGTCTGGGGGGGGGGCTGTGTGTGTCTGGGGGGGCTGTTAGGGAAATTATTTTAAATATATATTTTTTATTTTATTAATAATTATATTATTATAATTAATCATTATCAATAATTTAAAAAAAAAAGTTATGTTCCCCCCCCCTCCCTTCTTACCTTTAGCCTGGGAGGGGGGGAGATCCGTTCTGCGTGGGTGTGGGGAGCCGGGTATCCATGGAGGAGGGAGACCATGCTGCCTTCCCTGGTGGTCCAGTGGTGAGAGTGAACTCCAACCTGCGGGTTAGAGTTCACTCTCGCGAGATCTGAGCGTTGCCGTGGTAACCGCGGCAACGTTTAGAATCCCGCGAGAGGACTGGGTGGAGCTGCTGGTTAGAGCTCCGCCGGTCCTCTCTCCTCCCTCCCTCCCTCCCTCACCCAGCCGGCAGCCTCATGTAACAGTGCCTGTGGGCCGGTGAGGGAGATCTATGATCTCCCCACCGGCCCATGGAGGCACACAGCAGGGTCGGCGCTCGGATAGCGCTGGCCCAGCAGGGGCCGGCCGGGAAGATCCTGTGATCTCCCTGCCGGCCTCGGCCCCACGGCCATCACGGCCCACCGGGCATTTGCCCGGTGTGCCCGATGGCCAGTCCGGGCCTGATAATAATAGATAATAATATAAAGCTCAGCATTAGTGAAGTATAATAATATATAATAATATAATACATACTATTAGTGATGTATTATATATAATAAATATCAAGCACAGTATTCGTGATGTATAATATGTAATAATTATAAAGCAGTGTTAGTAATGTATAATAATATATAATATAATAAATCACAGTATTAGTGATGCATAATAAATATAAAGCGCAGTATTAGTGATATATAATAATATAAAGCACAATGTTACTGATGTATAATATATAATAATTATAAAGCACACTGATAGTAATGTATAATAACATATAACATAAAGCACAGTATTCGTGATGTATAATAATATTTGTGTTAGGTGCTCATGATAGTACAGAGTAAAGTACCATAATGAAGGTCAGGATATTTATATCGGCAGACATTTTGTGCTAAGATTAAAAGTGTATATGTTAATGTTTAAATGTTAATGGAATAGAAATAATTTTAAACACAGACACTAGTGACAGAGAAGACTAAGTAATTAATTTTACTTTCTAAATCTTACAAGGTCCCATTGTAAGTAAGGGGTGAAATTGAGTTTAGAACTGTCAATTTTAGAAATTACAATCAAAGTCGTTGCCACAAAGACTGAGACAAACGCTTTGAAGTGACCGCAAATTTAAGTTATGGTAGCCATTTTAGATAAGCCATGTAACGGACCGTTTTGCACAAAAGGGGTCAAAACCGCTTAGACAATAATCCCCTTTCAGAGACAGGCACAGCTACTGTAGAATCACCAAAACTCACGAATTGAATACAAGGGAATGCTCCAAACTCCCGAACGGCATACAAGGGAATGCTCCAAACACTCGAACTGGAACCTCACGAATAGCTGCTAGCAGACGAACAGGAAAAGCTCCCAAGCGCCTTACACTCCTGGCAATCAGTCCTTAGCAGCATACAGTAAATCCCCCCAAAGACGAGACAGAACTCCGTGGTGAGGGTCAAGCAGTGGTCTGTTTAATGAGGGCTACCTGCCCAGTATTTATGCAGGTCTCCCACCTGGTGGACACTCCCCTAGGGGACCAAATGGGAGACTGTAACAAAAGACAGACATGTACCAATTACAGACATACAGAAGTAAAACATCCCCACAATGCATCCTGGCTTCCTCCCCTCTGCCCTGGAGAAGTAATTCAATTATCTCCCAGGACAAAGGCAAAACTCCATTACACACGTGGGGACACAAAGACAGACTATCACTTTAAAATACATAATGGGACAAATGGTACAGTAAATATATACATGTAACATATCCCCAGATAGCTCAGGTCTGAGTGCACATTATTAGGTGAATGGCACTCATACCACACAAATACAGTTTAATTGCCATGGAGCCAAAGTCTTTAATTCCACAAACAGGCTCCATGACATAGCTATCTGGGTTAAAACATTCCCCCAACACAAAATACCGAATTTACATGCATTCGTTAAATCCGTACGAATTAGAACCAGGGGTTGGAGGTTCAGCGGTGCCTGCAAGTAAAAGTGTCCGGGTTTGGTGCAGGAAAGCCGGGCAGAAAAGCGCTGGCTGCCCGGGGAGCTCCAGAACACCGCCATCGTGTGGCGGCTAAGTGTAACCGCGACCACCCAGTAACAATCAATTAAGCTGCGGTTAACCGCAGCTACTGGGTGGTCAATTGCCGGCACACGCTCGTTAAGCCGCGGTTAACCGCAGCTTCAGGGAGGTAAATGGAGGGAGTACTCCAGCTTCTGGGTGGCCAATTAAGGTCGCCGGCCGGCTTCCCACGGCTCTGGGGAGGCTGAAAAGAAACTGTTTGTTCGGTAGATAGAATCTACCGAACGGCTGTGCAGAAAGGGAGAAATAAATCCTTCTGCACAGTAACATTAACCCTTTAGCTGCCGGTCCATAATCCAAAGGCAGCAGGTGGGCAACCAGGCTCCTCCAATGCAATGTGGCGAGATTGGTCTCGTCACAAGCCAAATGACGTCAAAATCGTCATCAGGAAAAGTTAACTCTTTACTGGATAGGAAGGTTTAGTGAAGCGAGACTGCCCTCTATGGATCAAATACCTAAATTGCGATCTGCAGGTTGACCACACCTTCAGTATCCTATTGGCCTTATCAACTAATGACGTACAGAGAGTCTGGCCCTTTAAAAGTTAGGACAAAGGGAAGAGAGAGGTTAGTTTGGGCATTTAGATTTGGGCATTCAGAGAGATCCAGGACAGATATTCAAGTTCCTGGCACTAACCCTCAAACTCTCTTGGACACAACTCAAGAAACACTCCTTAACACTTAGAATTTTACTGATACTTTCTAACTAACATCACTTTTCTCTATTACTTACACACCTCCATACAACCAATCATACTCGCATCCAAGTTCCTGGGACTACCTACTCATCTGATGAGAACATCTACATAATTGGTAATTATGCTGGTTTTATTTAATTAATCTAAATTAATAAAAATCTAATAGCCTGATATATGACTGGATAAATCACGGTCAGATTTCAATATTTAGACATTTTTGTTAACTAAAGAATATATAGTTATAAACATTCCATTCTGCAGGTGGAATTAAGAATAATTATATATTAATGTGATATTATCACGTGTTAGCATACCGCTGTTTTTATCCAGGTGTATTGATTTGCTCTAAAATAAGATAAGATATCTTTTTAGGCAAATTAAAATTCGGCTTTTGTAAAAATCTGGTAGATTATTCTTATTGGATGGTTCCAGGAAATGATTACTGAGCTGGTTCAAATGTTATTTTAATTGAAAATTACATGAGAATAGGATACTATATGCCTGTGAGGATCTAGCCAGCATTGAAAGGGTTACTCAGTTGATTTAACTGTTACCCAAGGTTTTATGGCTTTTTGCTGGAAGTTTAGCTTTCTGTGTCTGTGATGTACCTTCATAAATCGTGTAAGTCTTGCCAGTTGATGCTGTAGCTTTATACTGTGTTTAGCCATTGCCATTGTGCTTATGTTAAACTAAATATTCACTGATTATTATCATGCATGCTGCCTAATATTATTATTATTTTATTTGTCACAATAAATTATATCTATTTTTATAACAAATTGTGATTTTATTTGTATGGAATACATTTCACTTACATGATAACGATCTCTAAGATCTAAGAGTATTGAAATAGTGGGCAATTCTCAACTGTATAATATCATCCCATAAATATCCCCACATATTGGAGGCACTGCTGAGATCATTAAATTGAAATTATATTCCATACAATAATTCTGAGGCGTTGCTATTGAGTAACTCATGCAATATTAATCTTGATATAGAAGAGCGTTTTGTATTGAGATTAAATCAGTGTATAGAAATATGGCCAGCGATCCATCTGTATCAGACAATGCTAAAATCATTGAAAAACTAAGAATAAATACTCTAGTCAATATTCATAAACCTATGAAGAATGATTTATGCTATGAAGATTGGTTGAAGGGCATAGAATGAGAAGCTAAACTAACCATTCTAAGTGATTCACCAATAACATATCTTAAAGAAATTGACAAAGGGGGTTCATCATCTTGGCCTTTCTTTATGACAGGACTTCTGAAGGCGTTAGATGAAAACAAGGTACTGAATGCCAGATTGGTCACATACAGATTGGCGATCTGGGCATTCAAAATGGGAAATACCAAGATTTACTTGCTGAGCATGAAACCCGTCAGGCTGAGCATGAAAAAGAATTGAAAGCTTTGACGGATAAATATGCACAGGAAATAAGTCAGCTTAACCCCTTAAGGACGGAGCCAAATGTACAAGTTGTGATCAAACCAAAATATAAACAAACCACAGAATTTGACATACTTTCATACTAAGTGCACCCACACTTATTATATATTGGTTTGCTCAGGGGAAACAGGGCTTTCATTCCATATCAAACCTTCATATATAGAACTCCATTTTATATGAATAAAATCTAAAAAAGTTAAAAAACTTAAGAAATTTTGATATTTTTCAATTTCTGCATGTCAATTTAACTGATAATGTCACAATACTGTTTGGTTTTACTGTAATAAAACATACATATTTGTATTCAGAAATGTCTCATGAGTAAAACAGTACCCCCCATGTATAGGTTTTATGGTGTTTTTGAAAGTTACATGGTCAAATATACGTCTTGTCTATTTATTTATTTTTTACATAGAAATTTCACAGATTGGTTTGCTGGGCTTAGGTTGCCTTTGAGACCGTATGGCAGCCAAGAAATGTAAGTTACGCCATCATGGCATACCATTTGAAAAAGTAAACATCCCAGGGTATTCAAAATGGGGTATGTCCAGTCTTTTGTAGTAGCCACTTGGGCATAAACGCTAGCCAAAGTTAGTGTTCATTTTTTTTTTTCATTTTTCAAATAAAAACTGTATTTTTGCTGATAATATTATTGTCAGTATATAGTTTACTGCCCTGAAACACTCCTAGTTCTGTTCAGTGATGTCTCACGAGCGGCACGGTATGCCCTATGCATAGGTTTTAGGCGTTTTTTTAAAAAAAGTTGGAGGGTCATATATCCGGCTTATCCATTTATGCTTTTTCACAATGGAATTTGTCAGATTAGTTTGCTGTGTCTAGGCTGCCTTTGAGACCATATGGCAGCCAAGAAATGAAAACTACCCCTTAATGGCATACCATTTGAAAAAGTAGACATCCCAGGGTATTCAAAATGGGGTATGGCCAGTCTTTTGTAGTAGCCACTTGGGCACAAATGCTAGCCAAAGTTAGTGTTCCGGTTTATTTTTTGCGTTTTTCACATAAAAACTGTACTTTTACTGATAATATTAAAGTCTGTATATAGTCTACTGCCCTGAAGCCCCTCCTATGTAACCGCTATACCCAGCATGTTCAGGGTCATGAGGAATTCGTCTCACAAGCACCACGGTACCCCCCATGTATAGGTTTTATGGGGTTTTTGAAAGTTACAGGGTCATATATAAGGCTTATCCATTTATGCTTTTTCACAATGGAATTTGTCAGATTAGTTTGCTGTGTCTAGGCTGCCTTTGAGACCGTATGGCAGCCAAGAAATGAAAACTACCCCTTAATGGCATACCATTTGAAAAAGTAGACATCCCAGGGTATTCAAAATGGGGTATGGCCAGTCTTTTGTAGTAGCGACTTGGGCACAAATGCTAGCCAAAGTTAGTGTTCCGGTTTATTTTTGGCGTTTTTCACATAAAAACTGTACTTTTACTGATAATATTAACGTCTGTATATAGTCTACTGCCCTGAAACCCTCCTAGTTCTGTTCAGTGGTGTCTCACAAGCACCACGGTACCCCCCATGTATAGGTTTTATGGGGTTTTTGAAAGTTACAGGGTCTTATATACGGCTTATCAATTTATGCTTCTTCACATTCAAATTTGTCTGATTAGTCTGCTGTGACAAGGCCGCCTTTGAGACCGTATGGCAGCCAAGAAATGAAAACTACCCCTTAATGGCATACCATTTGAAAAAGTAGACATCCCAAGTTATTCAAAATGGGGTATGGCCAGTCTTTTGTGGTAGCCACTTGGGTACAAATGCTAGCCAAAGTTGGTTCCGTTTTTTTTTTTTCGTTTTTGCATAAAAACTGGATAATATTAATGTCTGCCCCGAAACCCTCCTAGTGTAGTTACTGATAGGTACCCAGCATGCTTCTTCCAGTCCTAGTAACCTGTGACGTAGGTCATGAGGGTTGTAGTGGTGATTAAATAGCTGCGTGTGCTTGAATCTCTCGTTTGTCTGGGTAGTGCCTTATGAGTCACTCTGGTGCATTGGATGGTACCATTGACGGGGCCACCACCTGCTTTGTGCATAGGGTAGTCTACTGCTCCTCGTTCTACTGCATTGCACTTACCATTCTCATTTTCTTGGAGTGAGCCTGCAGGAGTCAGAGATGTAATGATCCACATGTGATTTTGTGCTAAGACTGGGGTTTGTTAGAGGAGAATGTACCAGGAGTCTCCTTGTGTCTGATTGGTCTACGGCAAGTAGGAATCCAAGAAAACGGTAAAAGCTTGTGCTTGATGGAAGAAAAAGCAAGATGGCGTCTGAGAGAACCCGGAAGGATGTAGGCATCCATCTATTCAGACGCTGACCATGAACGGTATGGACCAGGTAACGGGAAAACCAAGATGGGCTCTGAGTGGGAAAGTGCATCAATTCAGACGCTGACCTTCGGTATAGCCAGGTAGGTTAGTGATTAATAGGCTATATAATAACAAAAGTACAGTATTACAGGCCAAAATGTATACAGTGTCATAGTGTGTTAGTGAATTTATAATAATATATAAGCCATAAAGTATTAATTGACATAATAATAAAGATCAATAATGTGAAAGCTCAATATGTTGATATGCACAATATATAATAATATATAAGCTATATTAAGCTGTGTTAGTGCTCTGATAATAATATACATAATAATATAAAGACTACCAGTACAGTGAGTATGAATAATAATCAGTGTAGTGTGTATAGTAAGAGGCTGGATGGACGGAAAGGCCTGTAACAGGATTCCTGGACACAGCTTGCCGCGGAAAAAAAAAAGATGGCGTCTGAGAGAACCCGGAAGTGGATCCTCATTCAACGCTGACCATGAACGGTATGGAGCCAGGTAACGGGTGTCCCTTAAGTAGGCTAGGAGTGAATAACAAGCACCGCCCACAATTACAGGCCAAATGGCCTTCATACATATAAATATAAAGCTCAGTGTTAGTGATTTATAATAATATATATAATAATATAAAGTACAGTATTAGTGACATATAATAATGTAAAGATCAGTGATAGTGAGGTATAATAATATATAATATAAAGCACAGTATTAGTGATGTATAATAATATATAATAATATAAAGCTCAGTGTTAGTGATGTATAATAATATATAATAATATAAAGCTCAGTATCAGTGATGTATAATAATATAAAGCTCAGTGTTAGTGATGTATAATAATATATAATAATATAAAGCACAGTGTTAGTGATGTATAATAATATATAATAATATAAAGCTCAGTATCAGTGATGTATAATAATATATAATAATATAAAGCTCAGTGTCAGTGATGTATAATAATATATAATAATATAAAGCTCAGTGTCAGTAATGTATAATAATAATATAATAATATAAAGCTCAGTATCAGTGATGTATAATAATATATAATAATATAAAGCTCAGTGTTAGTGATGTATAATAATATATAATAATATAAAGCTCAGTATCAGTGATGTATAATAATATATAATAATATAAAGCTCAGTGTCAGTGATGTATAATAATATATAATAATATAAAGCTCAGTGTTAGTGATGTATAATATATAATAATATAAAGCTCAGTGTTAATGATATATAATAATATAAAGCTCAGTGTCAGTAATGTATAATAATATATAATAATATAAAGCTCAGTGTTAGTGATGTATAATATATAATAATATAAAGCTCAGTGTCAGTGATGTATAATAATATATAATAATATAAAGCTCAGTGTCAGTGATGTATAATAATATATAATAATATAAAGCACAGTGTCAGTGATGTATAATAATATATAATAATATAAAGCACAGTGTCAGTGATATATAATAATATATAATAATATAAAGCTCAGTGTTAGTGATGTATAATAATATATAATATATAAAGCTCAGTATTTGGGATGTATAATAATATAGAAAACAATTATCAGTGATGTATAATAATATATATGTATAAAAGCTCAGTATTTAGTGATGTATAATATAATATATAATAATATAAAAGCTCAGTATTTAGTGATGTATAATAATATATAATAATATAAAAGCTCAGTATCCAGTAATGTATAATAATATATAATAATATAAAAGCTCAGTATTAGTGATGTATAATAATATATAATAATATAAAAGATCGAAATTATCAGTGATGTATAATATATAATAATATAAAGCTCAGTGTAAGAGATGTATAATATATAATAATAAAAAGCTCAGTGTTAGTGATGTATAATAATATAAAGCTCAGTGTAAGTGA